ACAAAACAACAAAAAACCATTAAAAAAATATACAATTTCAAAGCAAGGAGATAGGAAATTAACAATGGTTATTATATTACATTTTGTTATCTTCAAAGTAGTTGCTCAGATTCACCAGTTAAGTTTTATTTAACAAAATATTCCATTTTAAAAATATCAATCTCCCCTTTAAGAAGACTTATAAGATAGGTCAATAGGAGGTGATTTGTTTTGTTTTATTTTTTTACTATAAGGAGAAAAAATGTTCCTTCCTTATAGGAATATATCAGTAAACACAAGAGTCCACAGAATGCGGTAAGGAAAGCATGATGGGAGATTCTGGTCAGAGTGCAGAGGACCAGAATGCTGAAAGAAATGCAAACAATAAAAGCCAGGTTCAGGACATTTCAGTTAGGAACAAGGTCTCCACTAGCATTTGGACTCAAAATCACATGTTATGCTCTGGCAAAAAATCTGTCTACATATTGTGCACGTCCTGAGACTTCGCTGGAGAGTGAGATTAAGGGCAGCAGACTAGTTCTGGCAGAAGAAATGTCAAGGTAGCCCACTGTTGAGCTGAAGCTGTGACAGGGATACTGCTGGCAGCTCTTAGCCTTATCTACCAGCAGGAGTAGCACCAATACCAGATTTCAATAATTTGAAAACTTCTGCCAGACAGGAAATATCTGTGAAGTTGGAGACTGTAAAGTTTTGGCCCAGGACAGGTTAGTTTCTGAAAAGATAAATATTAAAAAGAAGCCAAGCACTTTCCATCAGGACAACAGGAAAGATACCTTCAGGGGATCTCAGAAATTCCCAACACCCTACCCATCAGAGGTTCAAGAGTGTAAAACTGTAAAGCTATCACCTGACAAGACAGATTCAAAGCATCCTGCTTGTGAAGGGCTCCCTAGGATCCCCAGAACTCCCTTTGCAAGGTTCAGCTATCTAGGTACTCAGAGGCCTCTGCAACCATTCTCCAAGGGGGCACAAATACTACTTAAGCTAGTAGCAGACCCTGGCCTCCTCCACATGGTGCTTTTATAGGGACACAGAATGTAAGAGTTCTGGGCTCAGGAAAGCTTCCATTTAGATTTCAGGAAAAGCCCTGCCAGGTAGTCATTGTGCCCTGGAGAGGCCAGTGTGTGAAGCTATAAATGAAAGCACTGCGCAGACCCCAGGAAGCTGGAGAACCAGGGATGCGGATCATCTGCAGAAGAGAGCTCTAGGCAGTGACCAAAGTTAGCCCAAGACAGAGGCCATGAGGGCTGCAACTGCCAACACTTTAAGAGCAGGAGGGCCCTTGGAGTTCTTACCTCATGGCGACAACCTGCTCTGCGTCCGGGACATGGAACTGTAGGATTTAATGTTTGCCCTGCTGGTTTTCAGTCTTGTTCGGGTCTCACTCCTTTCTATCCCCATGCCTCCTTTTCGGAATGGGAATGTTTACCCTGTGCCATTGTTCATCAACACCATCCGATTCTTACAAGCGCTCCCAGCTAAGAGTGTGCCTTGAGTCTCAGAAGAGACTTTGGAATTGGTCTTTTCAGCAATGCTGAAACTATTAGGACTCCAGCAACTCTGAAGAGATGGACTAAATGCATTTTGCACGCACGTAAGTCTTTTGAGCAGTGAGATGAAATGCTGTGGTTTAGATGCAGAATGACCCCAAAGGCAGCAGGTGCTCATAAGGTGGTGCTTTTGGAGAGTGAATGACTCATGGGGCACTACAGCTGACTTGCTGTTAGGAGTGGGGCCTGGTCAGAAGAGGCGGGGAACTAGGGCATGACCTGCAGTATCAAAAGGGCACCTCGTCCTGCCCCAGCCCCCCCCTTTCTGCTCCCAGCCGCCATGACGTGAGCAGCTCCGCCCCGCGCAGGCCCTTCCACTTTGCTGTTTCTTCCTTACAGCAGCTGACCATGAACTGAAACATGAGCCAACATCAGCCCTGCTCCTACAACCTGTGGGTATTGGGTATCTCGTCCCAGTGATGAGAAAATTACTAGGACAAACTCTATTCTCAAGCACCAGGCACTGAGCAGGCATTAAGTAAGCGCTGGGGTGAACAAATGGTCAGATTTTGAAATTTTGTTATCTGCCAAAGCTACACAACATAAAATGAGCACAAAAACATACCTTTTCCTAACAGCATTCCAGCTACAAATGCTTTCTCATAAGCCAAGTCTCTATCTTCCTTCCAATCACTTTTTGCCCAAAAGTAACTGAAGTGGAAGGTTGGCCACCAGCTCTTCCTGGTCTTCCACTCTTCCTGGACCCATCCAAGATGATTCCTGGAAAAGAAAAATACCAAAAAAGGGGCTGGAGATTTAGCTCAGCAGCACAGCACCTGCCTGGCAAGCACAAGTCGTGAGTTCAATTCCCAGTACTGGGGAAAAAAAAAAAAAAAAAAAAGGAAGCTCAGTGATAGGGGCAGATCTGTCCTGTCAGAATATGAATTGGCCTGGAATTCTTGGAAAGATGACAGAGATGTTTCCAAGCTAAACTCTGAAGATGGTTTCCATTGACAATGGACATAAAATGAAGTAAAGCATAATCTTGTGATTGTGCTTCTTCTCATACAAGATGAAAATAAGAGCAGTTCCTTTTCTTCTCAAAATGTAGCTCTAATGATATTATGATCATAGGTACTGTTCTATTTTTTTTTTTTTTTTTTTTTTTGAGAGAAAGTCTCACTGTGTACTGCAGACTGGCCTTGAATTCACTGTGTAACCCAGGACTGCCTCAAAATCATGGAGATCCTCCTGCTTCAGCCTCCCTGGTGTTGGGATTACAGACGTGCACCACCAGGCCTGGCTGTGTAGTTTTAGACGCCTAGGTTACAACAGGCTCATTATAAAGTGTAACATTTACTTTGATAGCACAAACTATCTTGATTGAATTTTTTATGATAAGCTTAAGACTGTTTTCTAGCTTGTGATGTACTCGGAAGAAAACAGCTGAAGATACAGCTCAGGAAATCCAAAGACATAAGCAAAAAATCATTTTAAAAAACTGCTACCCTCTAAAACATGGGGAAGTTATGATTTAGTAATGAAAGCAGTGTCTCCTACTTACTTCACTAAAATCTGTCTCAGATAGTTTGCCAAGTATTTCCAAGCAGTTACATTCTTCCTACATCCAGCAAAATCCAGAAGTCCAAACAACACCTCCAACCCCAGTTTTTGGTGCTCTTCTTTCTCTGCAACAGTTGTAACAGTTTAGGTTTATATAAGGTATTGAAGAAGTGACGGCTAAGTTACTCAGCCGGCTTAGTCACTGTAGACGGCTAATAAAACAGTACTAAGGTGCAAGCTCTGGCTTCAGCTAAGAGTTCAGGACAGTCCATTATGTTGACCATCCTGTGACGGAGCTGAAGAGCTCAGTGCACACTCCACACTAACTGAGGTCAGGATGGCGAATCTGACCTCCATCTACGTCTGACTGAGAACAATATTTAAAGTATTTGCCCTATTTGGGCAGTTCTGGGATAACTCACTTCTTTTTTTTTTTTTTTTTTTTGGTTTTTCTCCGGTACCAAGGACTCACTTCTTTTAAGAGAGGCACTTACACAGTCCTTGTACCGACGGGGCCCAGTGAGCTGACGTACTTTTAACTGTGTCCTTTTCTTTACTAAGCTGAAGTCCAGGAGGGATTAAACGCGGCGAATGACAGACGCAGAAACCATCTGTCTTTTGCTAACTATTACCTAGTGCGCTTTAGCAGGGCTGGGCAAACGCTTTCAGTGAGGCCCAGACTGCAGGTATCTTCAGCTCTGCCGGCCACTCGGTCCCTGTTACAGGCACGGTGCCGTGTTCCAGTGCAGCAGCAGCCACAGACAAACCCAACCACGGGCGCCAGTCCCACACCGTTTCCAGAAACTGGCAAGGGGGCGGCCGTCACCTGCTGGTCCCTGGACTACCGCTACCCACACGAAGGGGAATGAAACAAAAGTGGTTTACCTGATTTTCTAAGTAACACATGGAACTCTAACATCAGTTTATGAGATGGCACAATCTGATACAAAATCTGGAAGAAAGATTAATCTTGTAATTTACACACTGTAAAGGCATTTCTCAAATTTCAGCTTACTTGCAAATAAAATTCTTATGGCTAAAATGTCCTTAGACTCCTCCCAACACGATAGTCAGGGCTACTGGAGGAAACAGATGGAGACTCTTCATTTGTGTTACACACATCTACCCACACTTAAATTTTTATTTTTTTGTACCAGGAATCGAACTCAGGACCTTGCTCTTGCCAGGCAAGCACTTGTGCCACTGAGCTATATCCCCAGCCCTACACTTAAAATTTTAAAATAATTTATTTTCAGAAGCTGGGTCTTAAAACAACCACACAGCAAAAATATTTATTGATCGCAAGAGATCACAGAATATTTACATGAAACAAAAACTCAAAAAGTGGAAACAGTAACTTTAGAGACTGTGCTCAGGAACACAGTACAATAGGGCACAGGAATAAATATTCCAACAGTCCTTTTACACAACAGGGGAAAACTTGAAGGTTTTCTTTTCAAGAACAGGAAGGACTTAGCCAGGTGTGGTGGCACACACCTGTCAACCCCAGCTAGGAGGCCAAGGCAGGATGATCATAAATCTGTGCCCAACCTGGGCAACATGGCAAGATCCTGTTTCAAAAAATAAAAATAAATGGTCGGACATGTAGCTCAGTGTGAAAGCCCTGGGTTCACTCCCCAGCACAGTCCATATATGGCCAGATGATTCCAAAAAGGGTTCCAAGAGGGAAGGACAGTCTTTTCAATAAACTAGAGGGAAAAAAAATTAATCTTGACCCTTACACCTCACATTATGCAAAAAAATATATAGATGAATAATAAAAAAATATAAATATATATGTTAAAAATCTATTACAGACCTTATAAATCTATGTAACACTTCTAGGAAAAAAAAAAAAAGACTCTTTACTATCTTGTGGTAGGGCAAGTATTTATTAGATTAAAAATTACTAATAACAAGAAAAATGGATAATTTGAACCTCAACCAATTAGAAATTTCTGCTCTTTGAAAGACACTGATAGTTTAGCAAACAGAAAGGGCTGAAATTATAGCTCAGCAGCTGAGTGCACGCTCCACATGCCTGAGACCCTGGGTTCGATCCTCAGCACCAAAAAGACAAGACAGAAGTCAGAAAGCTAAGCAACAGCTGGAGAGAAGAGACTCACAGTCCATCTACCTAACAAAAGCATTGTGTCTGGATTATATAATCTCCCAAACCAGGAAGAAGATAAACAGTAACTCCCTAAAAAAAGACACGAGGTTTGTGAAGAGACATTTGACAGAAGACGACACAGGGACAGCGACAGACTTAAAGGACCCGAGCCATCAGGAAATTTAACTGGGAGCCACGGTGCAACAGCCCTGCGCAGCCACCGGAACGGCTGCAGTCCAAAACGACCGACAGCACCACTGCTGGGGAGGCGGAAGGACGGAGACGAGCACAGCCACTCCAGTGAGCGGCTGGGAAGTCCCCAGAAGTTAAACATGAACTTTCCTCACCAAGCAACTCCAAGGCAGGGCCCCAAGAGAAATGAAAATACGTGTGCCCTCCAAAGGCACTCGTGAATTTTCTTAGCAGTGTTACTGGTAACAGTCAAAAAGTGAAAATGAGCCAAAATGCTGACCAAGAAGTACAAACACAGACGACTACTCCACTATAGTAAGTTTCGAACACACAACGCCATGGATAAAACTCAAAACCACTGTGCTGAGCCACAGCAGCCAGGTTTAAAAACGAAAAACTGCAACTACATTTATATGAAATTCCAGAAAAGGTACAATTAACCTACAGTAACAAAAATAGAGCAGGGACTACCTGGGGCAGGGACGCGTAGGTAGATGCGTTGCTCAGGGAAATGTGGGGAGGCGACAGCACTGTGCATCTTATTATCTGGGCCGTGGTTGTGTTTGTTAAAATGCGTCCAAACACACGCGCGAGAGACTGAGTGTGCCCGCTCTACGCAAATTAAACTGCAGTACAGCTGGTTTTCACAGGCTACAGGGCAGAACGTGCCGACCAGAGCCAGGCAAAGAGGCCGTGGAATGCTGATGCTCTGGCCTCCCGCCGGCCTGCAGCTGCCGCAGCCGAGGGCACCACTCACACGCGTCTGAAAGCAGCGACCCGGGCACAGCCCCAGCCCTGCGCAAGCACGGCGGGGTGCTCCATACCTTAAGCACACTTAGCAGCTCTGCTCTTGGTGCCTTCGCTCTCTTCAGAAAGCTGTACAAGTAGATGTGGGCATTTGGATTTGATGGGAACTTTTCATCATATGCATAATTCGTGAGTACCTTTCGGGCTCCGTCTTGGTCACCATAGAATTCCAGCATCTGTATAAAATAAGCCACAATATTGTAACTGAATTCTGTAAGACAGCTATGAAAAACCACAACTTTATTGCTGAGTACAAAAAAAAAAATCACAGAACTGACAAACAGTGCTGTACCGGGAGCAACAGTTAATGCTGATTTCTGCTTCCACAGACCATCTGTTACAGCAGCTATGGAACAAGATCACTTGCCCGGGCTACAGGGGGTCTCACTGCAGCCTTGCAGTGCTGTTACCGGAAAATGTAGTGACTTTGACCTACAAACTGTTCCACAGGAATAAAGTCCTCTAGGCAAGGAAACCAAGGACTAAAACACCCAAGCAAGTGACCTCAGCACCCTACCTAACCGCAGCCACAAAAGGGACCCGTGACATGGTGTGCCCACTGTGAAACAAGCAGTCCCAGGGGAACTACGAGGTGGCTTTGGAGGTTATAGCTGACCTCACTGTTATTACTTTAGTACTTGCAAGTGTCCAGAAAGCTAAGTATTTTCAAAATTTATTTCCAATGGGCAGGGCCAAGGCCCTGTGTCCCTCTGCAGTGGTTCTGGAATGAAGGGACATCTTCACCTTTCAAAGCCATTCCTCTGCATCCCACATTTTGTAACATAGTTTCAGACTTCTGTTCACATCCTTTTTAGGTCCCAGAAATCACAAAAAATCTTTTTTCCTTTTAAGCGCCTCAAGAATACAGAATTGACACTTAAAATTATACTGCTGTTTATTTATTTATTTATTTGTTTGTTTGTTTGTTTGCCCCAATACCAGGAATCGAACTCATGACCTCGTGCTTGCCAGGCAGGCACTGTGCTGCTGAGCTAAATCTCCGGCCCCTGTTTATTTTATTTTATATTTTATAAGTATGCGACCAAGACAGGTTATCCAATGGTGAACATAAACAAGAGTAACACTGACAGTAAGTATATTAAGAAACAGAAATTATTCAAATAAAAAAAGAGACAAATCATACCCCTGTCTCTTTTTGGTTTTTGTTTCATTCCATTTTTACAATTTTCTCTACAGGTTTGCTTCTGCTCAACAAAACTGAGCATGCAGATTTTCCATAAGCCCAGGCCTAAATGAAACTAAATTATATGACAGACACCAACTTACCTCTACATAACTCTTCACAAAAGGGTCCCAGACTCCAGGAGTTTTAATCAGTGCACTAAAATTTACAGATGTCTTCCAGCTGTGGCTGAATATATTTTGGGCTTCTGTGCTATAAGCATAATCATCCTTATCTGCCCAAAGATAAACAATTTTTAAAAATCATTCAATGTTCAATCAGAACACCCACACAATCAGAAGACCCACACAAAATGCTCAGGACCTGATGGCTCACTGGTGAATGCCTACAAACATGTAAAGGCAAATACTAATTTTTTACACACTCTTCCCAAAGTAAGAACAGAAAGGAATAACTCAACTTATTCTATGAGATCAGTGCTACCTGGACACCAAAGCAGACAAGTAAAACACAAAAAACTACAGATCAGTCTCTCCTAGGGAATATAGATACAAAACTCCTCAACAAGACACTAGCAAAAATGAGTCCAGCCACATAAGAAAAAGAATTACACACCCTGCCCACGTGGGATCTATGCCAGGAAAGCAAGGCTGGCTTAATAGCTGAAAACCCGATTCACGCAAGTAACACGACAAAGATCTATCGATCTAACCCAAACCAACAAGATAAACAACAAAAACTGCATGATTATCCAACGGAGCAGAAAAAGCAGTCAACAAAACTCAATAAACCTTCATGATGAAAACACTTGACAATCCGGGAACAGAAGCTCCCTCAAGCTGATGTAGGGCATCCATGAAAATCCCGCAGCTACCATTTAACTTGATGATGAAAGACTGCACGCTTTCCCCCACAGATCAGGACCAAGACAAAAAGGCTCTCCCTCGCTACTTCTAGTCATTATACCAGAGGTTTCGGCCAGAGCAGTGAAGTAAGCAAACAACAGGAGAGATATCTACGTTGAAAGGATGAAGCAAATTACCTCTGTGCAGATGATGTGACCCTGTAAATAGAAAACCCTAAGAACTCACTTAAAAACCTACTAGAGGGGCTGGGGATTTAGCTCAGCGGCACAGCGTCTGCCTGGCAAGCGCAAGGTTGTGAGTTCGATTCCCAGTACCGGAGAAAAACCAAAACAAACAAAACAAAACAAAACAAAAACCCTGCTAGAATAAGGGAGTTCACCACAGTTGCAGGGTACAAGGTCCATCCATTAAAAACTAGGAAAACAATGCCAATTTCAAAAGCACCGGCCATCTTAACATTTGGGTATAAATGCTGTGTCCCTTAACCTGGGTGGTAGTTCTGGGGTGGTCCTTTTAAGTGTGTCCACTGTATCTCGTATTTGTTCCACATACTACTTCTATACATTTTACTTCACAAGCTTAAAGGTTTAAAAGGAAAGGAACTCAGCCCCACTGTAGCAGAAACCTCAACCCTAAGGAGCACTGGCAATCTTTTCCCAGGAGATCGAAGGAGTACCTGCCAATATAGACTTGGAAATGAAGCGTAGGGAAAGTAGCTAAGAAATGACATGGGAAAAATGTTAAGGAAGAAAAAGTAGATGCCTAGGTGTAAGTCAGGTTTGCAGGAAAAGGGGCTCCCAGTCACCAAGCGCCTCACCCCCCACGAGACAGCCACAGCGGCAAAGCAGAGTGCAGCCCGGCTCACAGGAAGACCAGCCCTGACTTCCTGTCTCATTAAACAGACACCCGCAGGAAAAGACTTTCCAGCAAGCTCCACCCATCACCCGTCCACCTCTCGCTGCGCAGAATGAGCGCACACTGCACTGGGCACTGAGGCCTCTGCCCGCAGGCGTGGCAGTCACAGCGCCATGTCCAACAGCAGTCGCCCAAGTATTTGCTTGAGTTCTGCCTAACCATGTGTAAGAAGAAAAGCAAACACTGGCTTTCAAACCCAGTAAGTTAGTATCAGTAAGCCTTTACTAAAAAAGAAATACCAAGCCCCGCGTAAGGCAGAGGAAAGGGAGAGACCACAGATGAGGAGAGGGGAGGGAAGTGCGACCGCGGCCCAGCGGCCAAGGAAAAGCCACCGCACGTCAGGACCGAGCTCACCTAGGAGGTGGTGGCAAACGCCAGCACTAGGATTTCAGTGAAGGGTACGGAAACGGGCTAGTCCTGGAGGGGCTTCCAAGAAAGACGGAAGAAAGGAAGCACAGACGGTCACAGCCAGAGAAGGTCAGAGTGGGCGGGGGAGGATGGCATCAGCACCAAAGCGGGAGCGGAGGGGACTCCACGAAGGACTGAGCAGTCAGTCTGGTGTCTCAGTAAATCAGGAAAACGAGCACAGAAATGGCACTATTATACCTTGCCTATTCTTTACACACGTATATTCTGCGAAACAGGATTATAACCAAAAGAAGCCATTCTGTACACATGCTAGGAAATGTTGATCACATGCCATAACAGCCACTAAGAAACTGCAACCTTTCTTGGACACCGGCAGCTATGCCCTGACCGGAGGACGCCGCACCTACACCTGCCTGAGACTCAGAAACAGGAAGACCCTCTGAGAACACGCGGCCACACCCAGCCTGGCGACAGCCCCTTCCCTGGCAACCTGAAACACGGAACTGCCCAGAGCTGCCTGCTCCAGCAAGCAAACGCCCAGGACAGACCAGGCCATGCCACCCAGCTGCTGCGGGTGAGTCAGTGCTGGAGAGGTTCCCATTTAGACGCCCTCCAAAGCTGCGCGTGCCTAGAGGTGGGGCTCCAGGTGGTGACCGGATCACTGGCTGGGCTGTGGCCTAGACTCTCTTCCCCTCCTCCCTGGATCTCACTCCTTCCCCGTTTCTCCTCTTCAGTGCCCCTCTGCCATGCTGTCCTGCTTTGGAGCCGGCCGACTATGGACTGAAACCTCTCCACACTGTGAGCCGAAGTAGATCCCTGCTTATGTCTACACGTGTCCACTACTGTCACAGCAATGAGAACGTGACTGAGACACTGCCCAGTGCCCCCAACCACCCAGGAAAGGCCGGTGGGCTCAGATGACCGCCTCCCCTTCTGCGTTTACACCTTCGCACTTCCTGACCTTGCTCAAGGCCTGCTGCGCCTTCTTCCCCTTTAAAGCAGTCATCTCTGCACCAATCACAAGAGAGCTCAGCTCCTTCCATTGCAGTTACTGAATAAAATCTGTTTCCACTGCTGTGACAAATGTGCAGCTGTGTTTACCTTTGACAAAATCAAGTGAAAAAAAAGCAATGCATCTAACATGGTCATCAATGTAATAAATGAACCACCTAATTTACGACTGAAAGGTTTTGATGTACCAGAATTATAAAGGATGCCAGGCAAGGAGGTGCATGCCTGTAATCCCAGCACTCAGGAGGCTGAGGCAGAAGGATCACCGTGAGTTTGAAGCCAGCCGGGGCTGCACAGTGAGTTCAAGACCAGCTTGAACTACATAGTGAGACCTTGTCTCAAAAGAAATATAAAGGATGACCAAGAATTTAAAGCCAGTACAATGCCTGTTCTCTACGCCGTCTGGATGAGTTCAGCAGGGAGACAACTGGGTAATACCTTAAGATGGTTTCTGTCTTTCAGTCTCTTAAGAACATAGTTCACTCAGATTCACTCACCAAGCTGTGACAATTCCATCTTCTTCTTAGACCAACTATAATATTCCAGAAGCCCTTTATAGGCCTGAACAAGGTTGATCAGTATCTCCTGGGAAGACGACTTCTCCCCGTATCTCCACGTCTCCGCCTGGCTGAGATTTCTGCTCGCATCCTCCAGCATCCCATGATGAATAAGGTACAGCGCATGCTGCAAGGAGATCTGCACCGGTAACAAGGAAAAGCCCAGTCATCCAGGTCGTTAGATAACCGTGGGCTAAAGCTCAGGAAATACAGGGCCTAGGCTGGCTAGGTCCTTGGTAGGACACAAAAGATGTGATGCTGCCCCTGGCAACATTTCAGTCTAGCAAAGAAGGACCATGAAACACTACGTAAGTGAGCGCTAAATAATGCAAACTCACCAACAGAAGACAGCAAAGAAAGAGAAAGAAGATTTTCCACATAAAAGCAGATAAAGCTGAGGTTCATCACCTTGTGTGAGTCTCGCCTGCTACATGAGACAAGCGTTAGCCTTCAGAAGGGTGCTGCTGGGGATTAATTCAGATAATTTCTGCATCGTACCTAATGCCCAGTTCGGCCAACAGTGGACAATCAATAATTACTTTATATATGGTGAACAAACTCAGAAGAAACATCTTAGTAAGAGCTGCTGAAGAATGGTCTGAACTGAGGTGGAAAGTGTACCCCAGAAAGAAGAGAAGCAATAAAATTATTCAGAGTGAGCACAGCAGGACAGGAGGGCGTCAAGCACAGAGTCAGAGAAGTGACTAACGGCGCACGAGTCGGACACGATGTCGCCTGTCACCTCCAACTGCTGCCTCATTCCTCAACCGCTCCCCAATCCCTGCCCCGAGATCCGCCTTCCACGGGGCAACCAGAGCCTTGTGCTTGGTTAGCCATCTGGGTAAAATCCTTCCGCGGTGCCACAGCTTGCAGGACAAAACCCAGCTCCTGGCAGGGTCTCGGGGTCGGGCCTTCGCCCTGCGTCCCTACCAGGGGCTCCACGTGCACGCCACTTACTGCAAGAACCACATGTGGCACCCTTCCTGGAAAACAGCAGTGCTCTCAAAATTATTCCCAATAAAACATGTTTCACTGCTTAGCCTAACCGGCGCCTCAGGTTCTGGAGCAAGAAACGAGGTTCCCGTCCAGTTTCTTCACTTCTGAGACAATTCTCTGAACCAAAGCGGGCCTAACCAGCAAGTTCATTAAAACTCCACCCCATCTCCCTCATCAAAAGGCTATGCAGCTTCTTTCTCAACAGAAAAGGAGACAGAGGAGGAGCACACATCGTGTGGGAGGCACTCCTTCCTCTCCTTGTTCAGGAAGCCCTTCCTTCCTGGGAGCCACAGCTGCCCTCTTAACCCCCTATGCATTCCCACACTAGCAGAGGTCAAGCGCACCAGAGAGCACCTTGCACCTCAGGGCACATCCGAGCAATCTCCCTCCCACTAGTAAGGTCTCACCCCAACTCTACACAGAAAACTGCTCTTGAAACAAGGAAGCTGCCCTGTGTGTCCACTAGAATACAGCCTGGCGATTCCTGAGAGCGCAGAATGCACACTCATGGGCAGGGGTGTGGGTGTGTGTGTGTGTGTGTGTAACGGCCTATGGGCAGTGGGTGTGTGTGTGTGTGTGTGTGTGTGTAACGGCCTAGCAATACCCCCGCTGGGGAAACACAGAGAACCAGAACAGGGGCTCAGACAGCACACCTGCGCTCAGCAGCACGAGTCACAAACGCCAGAGGAAAACGAGCCTATGCCAGATAAATAAACGGAGAAACCCCATGTAACAGACGGAGGTATACTAGGCCGGAATAAAAGCGAGTGAAGGTTATGCAGATGTCTCGGCCCTTTTCCATTATGACCCACCTTGTCACAGACCGAAGCAACGTGGGGGGCCTCACACGTGCAAAGTCACAGAGCCTCCACCCACACTCACCTTCAAGTAATTCAAGACGCCAATGTTTTTCATCTGGTCCGCAAAGGTATTGAAAGTCTCCACATTGCTTTTGGGGTGGTAAAATAGAATTTCGCTTCCAAGCTTCCATATAATCTGTCAAAGCAGAAATTACTACCAAAATGTAAGGATTTTAATATTTTTTTCAGATTAGAACACTGAAAAACAACCTATAATTCTTTCTCCTAGAAACTACTACTACAATATTTTACAATAGTCTATCCAGTAAAACTAGTATCACATACTATGTAATAAAACCTCCTCAATCGTTTGAATTAAAAACTATTAGGTAAAGGGGGGGTGGTGATGCATATCTGTAATCACAGTACTTGGGAGGCTGAGGCAGGAGGATCACCATGAGTTTGAGGCCAGCCTGGGCTACATAATAAGCTCAAGGCCAGACTGAACAGGGTCTTTTAGACCCTGTCTCAAAAAAATAAAATAAGCAAAATATAAAATAATACAAAAATGCTAGGTAAGTATAACAGTACCATTAAATTAGCAATCTAAAAAAGGCAGGCAGTGAATATACATAATAAATATAAAACTTTTGGGCAGGGGGGCGCACATCTGTAATCCCAGCACTTGGGAGGCTGAGGCAGGAGGAAGTAACACAGTGCTACCTATGACCCACAATCTGCTCTTGAGTGTACATCGCCAAGAAATGAAAATGAACATCCATCCAAAAACCTGTCTGTGAGTGCTCACAGAGCATCATTCATAAAACAGAACACAGGAACAATCCAAATGTCTAACAACAGATGAATGCATTCATAAAATGGAATGCACTATATACATATAGAGGAATATTACTTGGCAATAAAAAAGAATGAAATACTAATACCCACTACAACATGGGTAAGCCTCAAAACACTAAGGCAAAGAAGCCATTCACAAGGTCCCTATACTCTATAATCCACTCCAGAAAACATCCAACACAGGAAGTGGCACGTTAGCAGCTGCCAGGACTGCAGGGAGGGATGAAGAAAAACTGCAAGTGAGCACAGGGTTTCTTTTGGGGGGGGACCAAAGTACCCTAAATTTAGATGGTGCTGTGGGTTGTACAACTCAGTGAAAACATTGAGAAAATTAAACTGTACGCTTTCAGTGGGTGAACTGCATGATGCGCTTGCTAATTATGTCTTGATAAAACAATAAAACAGATCACTCTGGGCAAAAGAAGAGAACAATTCTTTCAGAGTTTTGCTGAGAGTAGAAAACAGGCACAAAGCCCAGGAGCAGGGATCAGAAGATGATTCTAACACTGAATTTACAGCATCTTTGTGTGATGACGGAAAACACCCTGTGGAGAGGGGAGGAAGCCAGAAGAATGACCGGAAGAAACTAACGATGGGGGCTGAGAATACAGGGCTCGGACTCTGGAGTCCCCGTTACAATGATAAGAGGTAAAAAGAAGCAGGTGAAAAACCTCCTGATGAGAACCCTGCCCGCGAGATGACTCTTGCAGCTTTCAGTGGGTCGGGGAGAGCCTCCGAAAGCCGAGCGGGGAGCGGGAGCCCCACGCCAGTCTGCACCTGTCCCCAGTCCCGCAGGCCACTCACCTCGGGCGCTGCCTGCCTCTTGCTGCTGTCCGAGTCCTCCAGGGTCTGCAGGTAGCTGTGCATGAACCCCGCGGCCCGCGGCCACTGATGCTTCAGCAGTGCCTCCTGGGTAAGACTTAAACAAGCACCGGTGGTCTGAGCAAAGTCCTTCTTCTTCTTCCCTCCAGTCGCTAAAAAGATGGAAGATTCAACCATTCAGGAAACCTAGACAAGCGCAAGCCTTAGCGAGCAAAACAGTGGTGCCATCTGCCCCCGCCCAGCCCCCACATCAGGGCAGCTTCACTGGACACAGGCCCTGCTACACTGGCTGGTTTCTCAGAGAATAAAAACCAAGCTGGCACTGTTGAGCTACCAGAGCCACCACATCATTCAGACCTGATTCAATCTTTCCATCTTTGCACTAAAAAATCTGGAGATTTCTCAAAGAACCCCCCAAAAGCACAGGCCCTGGTACTTAGAACACGTAACCCTCACCAGTCCATCCCAGCCCACGGTCTCTATTTCCTACCAGTGTTCTGAAAACTTCAAAAGGGCTTTCAACTTTTAGGACCAAGTTCCAGCAACTCAATAATACAAGTTCAAAGGAAGTTAAGACAGGTGTAGACATTAGCGTTGTTCTCTAGACAGCTGGCAACCCCTGCATGAGGGAGTTTGGGGCTCAGTTTCAGCACCGTCCAGCAGGCATCTAAGCACACCGCTGCATCCTCCTCTCCTCCCATGGCCGCCTGAGCCTCATACCTGACCCCTGCAAGTCACACAGACCAGGCCAGACACTTTCAAAACAATGAGCTCGCCGATTTTAAGCTTCCTTACACATACTTTCCTAAAACTCACCTCCTAGAGTGAGTGCTGTGCCTATAGCCAAGTCTTTGCAGTTAAAATCATTATACCACACCTAAAAGTGAAAATATTGTGTTAAAAATGAATGACTCTAATATCTCTTTTTGCAAGTCAGATGATCTTTAATTTTAGTTTATCAAAACTATAAAATGATCTGATAATGTAATAGATCATACAATTTTTACATGAACAATTCAGGAGCAAAAGACCTGATACACTGTTTGTTTAAACTCCATTTCTGCTACTTCCCTACATGATTAAAATTTCTCAGCTGGATACAGTAGTACATGCCTGTAACTCCAGCACTCAGGAAGCTGAGGCAGGAGGATCACCGTGAGTTCAAGGCCAGCCTGGGATACACAATGAGCTCAAAGGCAACCTAAACTACATAACAAGACCCTATCTCAAAAAACCAACAAAATTTCTCAGAGATTAAAACAGAATTGATGCAAAATGTTTTCTCATTCTACAAGAATAATCATACAATTATCTGAGGCAATTAGGAAAAAGTAACAAATTTTTTTTTTTTTGTCTTTTTGAGACAGGGTCTCGCTATGCAGTTCAGGCTGGCTTGAGCTCACTACGTAACCCAGGCTGGCCTCAAATTCAGTGATCCTTCTGCCTCAGCCTCCTGGGTGCTGGGATTACAGGCATGCGCCACCACACCCGGCTACAAATTTATTTTAAATTAAATTTAAAATCATTAATTTACTTTCTTTAATACTCCAATTTTAACAAAAATTAAGCAACTATGTACAACTACTAATTAGAAATTTTAATACTCAAAAGCATTAAAAATAAGGCAAATTCATATTAAAACCTTTTTCAGATGGAAAATAGAAGGTATTACATCTCTATGCTATTTAGGTTCTATCAAATCGATTTTAAAATAATATAATTTCATTTAAAATGTATTATGTACTAGAAATGATCTCTCAAAACTATTTTAAAAATTTTAAATGGCACCTTAAAATTGCGTAAGGCAGTACACAAGTTGAAAAAGGACAAAGTAGGGCTTAAGTAAAAAAAAGCCAAAGACGACTGCTGTAGGTGCGTCTAAGACTGTTTTATGTACAGATAAACACCTGCTACTCAGCGTCATCCTGAAACTAGTAGCATTAGAACCAGCTAGAAACGCAGGATACAGCCCACGCAGCCCTCCGAATCAGAAGCTTCATTTAACAAGCTCTACCCTCAAGCTGCTCAGATCAGCAACAATTTCAGGCAACCAGCCACACAAAATGATAAAACACTACTTCCTTAAAATATCTTTCATTCACCTAAAAGAAGACTGTTCTTGGGCCAAGACATAGAGCTAAGAGGTACTTCTCTACCTCAAAGGCTGCAAATATAGCCTTGAGATCAGACAGTCCGGGATTTGACTGATACTACTATTTAAAAGAGTGGATGTGGCTAGACATCTGTTGGCACCAACCTGTAATCCCAGCACTCCAGAGGTTGAGGCAGGAGGATCACTTTGAGTTTGAGGTCAGCCTAGGCTACACAGTGAGTTCAAGGACAGCCTGAACTACACAGCAAGCCCCTGTCTCAAAAAACAAAACAAAACAAAACAAAACAAACAAAAAGAGTGGATTTGATTTCTAATACGACTTCTTGTTTAAATTTCACTTTCAAAAAAGCCGGGCGTGGTGGTACAAGCCTGTAATCCCAGCACTCTGGAGGCTGAGGCAGAAGGATCATTGCTAGTAAGCCGGCCTGGCCTACAAAGTGAGCTCAAGGCCAGCCTGAACCACATAGTGAGACCCTGTCTCAAAAAGACAATCAATCAATCAATCAATAAATAAATAAATAAATAAATCTCAGTTTCCTCATACTTAAAATGCCTAGCACTATTGAGGATTAATTTACTCAGGTCATCAAATGAGATAATACTTTAAAGTTTTTACAAGAGTGTGGTGCTACACGCCTATAATCACAGCTCTCAGGAGTCTGACACAGGAGGATTGCACCAAGATTGAGGCCAGCCTGGGCTACAAAGTGAGTTCACAGTCAGCCTGCACTCTATATCGAGACCCCGCCTCAAAATAAATAAATAATACATACACACATACAAAATAAAAACAGAGCTATGGATGTAGCTCAGTGTCAAGGCCCTGGTTTCTATTCCTAGTACTACATACACACACAGACTCAAGAGTGAAATTCTTAATAGTGGGAATTAAATTCCAGGAGCCAAGAAATCTCTGCAAGAGGAAAGAAGGCAGAGCTAAGACAGACATTTCAGGGCAGTGAGAAAGTGCTGGATCCAATGTATTCCCAGGCCTGTACTACCCAGCACAAATATAAAGAACTGCTTATTTTATGTATTCCTATAGGGAATTTAGCCCACAGAGAAACTTGTGTTTGTTTCATAAAAGTGGAAGAAAATACTCTTCTTGAAACCTATTACATCATCATTCTATTAGGAATTATTTCAACAGAAATTTCCTGAATACCTCTTAGGTATGCACTTCTCAAGGGGAAGTGTCATACATTCATCTGTGAGCCAATCCATTCAGTCAAGTCAGAGATGGTAAGTGATTAGCAAGCACTGCTTAGAAAATGCAACCACCATAATATACACTGTACATTAATTGAAAGACAAGGGATTTTAAAAGCAAAAAGAATCTATTTATTATTTCCTTTTAGGTTACAGCCAGAAACAAAAAAAAACACGCATAGTATTCCTACCTTGAAAACGGGACCAGCTTGGCTACCCCCTTTGCATCTGTGCTGAATCTCACCACCTCCTTGCATTAAAGCTAACAGGGCTCTGTATCATTTACTTACCGACGGAATCTAGATGCTTCCGAAGCCACGGAAAGTGCATTCCGGTACCAGAGACCATAGGTGTTTCCACTTGGTCATCGTCTGACCCAGGCCTTGTCAGTTCTTCACTGAAATCACTCATATCTATTCCAAAACGAAAACACAGTATGAGTTACCCACAGGCTTCTGAGTTAGGAGGAAAAACTGCCATCGGTTTATCCAAAAAGTATCATTTGGTCAACAAAATTCATTGTATCTGGCAACTCCTTCCAAGTACAAAATGAAATTTCAGTAACATCTAAAATGACCCATAAGAAAAATGAACCATTGTTGTATTCCAGTCCACATAAAGACATGATACCCTTTGACTGAAAAAAAAAAAAAAATCACATCTACAGCGAAATTCATAACAAAACAATATAACGAGTACAGTAGGCATATTAGTTATTATTTATTGGATCCTTACTATATACCTGGCCTATAAATTACTTCACTTAATCCCCACAGCAATCCGAGGCAGACACCTTATCTTTTGCCGTGTGAAGACTGAGAAGAAAAACAGGGGCTTAAGGCTGACCGATGAAGCCGCAGACAGACGCCGCGCTCGGCGGGGAATCAAGCCGCAGTGATCTGGGGCCCCGCGCTCGCTCCCCACGTCGGAGTGAACAAGAGAGCTTCTCCTACTACCTCCGGGCGCGTCTCCAGCTTTCGGTCCCTCGGCACCCCGACGGCATTACCCCAGCTCGGGACACCACACTGTGCCCCGATTTCCGCATAGGCTCTCTCACTGCTACCCTCAGACTCTGCTTCTCTACACAGCAGCCAGAGGAAGCCTTTTAAAATCGAAGGGTGGGCTAAGGGAACAAGTCTGCATGACATGCGGGTTTGAATCCAACCCACGTTGTTCTCTGAGGAGCCTTAACTCAAACGCTCCCTTCCAGGATCCCCCAAAGACGCACACGGGCGTGCACGCGGTTGCCACGGTAACCGAAGCCTCTAAATCCCACCTTGTGTCCACAGAACCCAAGGCTCCAGAGCATCAGGACAGCATAAGGAAATACGGGTGTGTCCCAGCACACGCTCCCCGCCCCTCAGGCTCTCAGGACAACATCTGTCGCACACACCCAGCCAAGGCGAGCTCCTGGGAGAACCTACGCTCTTCCGGTTCCGGAGACGAGCTCTGAGGCGCACCGGAAGCGGAAGTAGGGAGCGTTTCCTGAGAGCATGCGCAATACCTGCCTCGGCGCCCCGGCACGCCTGCACCCTGCCCCTAATTCTTTTGCGCTAGCAATATGGCTGTGGGCGTCTCGACCTAGGAAGTGACTTCCGGAAATGACCCTGGAAGTGATTTGGGGAGTGACCCCGGAAGTAAACCCTCAGGGAGACTTTCGGATACATTTGGCTCCAGACTTATATTTTACCTGTCTTCAACCGAAAAATGGAAGACCTCTGCTACATTTGGGGGTCGTGGTGCGCGAAGGATCCTGGGCGAGGGGATTAGGGACAAGGGCCCACTGTCACTTCACCCGAGAAGCTCACTGGAAGACGGACCAACCGCGCAATGGAGGATGGCTGGTGACACCGCCAAGAGAAATCCACGCACAGCCTTTTAATTTCTTCCTTGAAAACTTACTACAATTTTAGCTTTCAATTAAGTGACTTGACAGCTTTCTCCACAATTTGGGCAAGAATCTCTTTTTTCCTTTTAACAACATTGACCAGGGGCCTTGTGGAGTCAACTTTAATGAACAACACTGCCAACCTTATGTGAAACGGTAGGCGGAGAATAGGATGGGTAAACCCTGGAAAATGAAGGATGACTGAGGGGCTCCAGGGGCAGGCAACCTGGAAGAGACTCAGACACGACGGAAGATGTTAATGTATGAGTTATTTTTCTAAACCAAAATCTCAGTATTCAGATTTAATTGCAGTGTTGGCACTTTGTGGTAATTAAGTGGGTTTTGAGTTGCAGTTTGTGCAAATGTGTGTATGTGTACAGCCCAGCCAAACCTCATCGTGAACATGAGAATTAATTCGTACTTCAGTGCAAGGATCAGCAAACTGACCCACATGCCAAGTCCAGTGTCACAGTTGCTTTCTTTGCTTTCTTGAAACCAAATTTCACTCTTTCTGAAAATGAACAATACTAAACTTGATATGATCAAAAGAATCCAGTAATTAATGGTCGTGGAATGACTCAGGAAGCATAATGTCCTTTAGAGAATGACAATGTAATCCTCACTTCCTTTAATCTATAAATGTCTAGGATGCAACTGAATTTCATCAGACTGCAAAGAGATAGAAAAATGAGAATATAAGAGCAAAATACATCCATTAAAAATATTTGTGAGGCTGGGTGTGGTGGCACATGCCTGTAATCCCATCACTCAGGAGGCTGAGGCAGGAGGATTCTTAAGAGTTAGAGACCAGCCTGGGCTACAAAAGTGAGCTCATCACCAGCCAGAACTGCATAACAAGACCCTGTCTCAGATATATGTGTGTGTATATA